AACTGATGTTTGTCTAGTGAGATGAACTTGAGACCAAAATGGATCCCACCATGTGCACCGACAGCACAGGCACATCACTGTCTTGTTGATTCATTCTCATTATTCCTTTTAGAATAACTTCCCTGGTTTCTTCTCCTCCCCTACAACCTTAAGCCTTCTGCTCACATCCCTCTACGTTATTGTTGAGTTTGTTTTCACTTCTTCTCCACTATCAGAGTTATTACAAGGACAAGTTGAAGTGTTGGATCAAAGAATAAAGTGCTTTGGGCAATTTTTAAAAAGATTTCTAATCTTTTAGTGGAACAATGAATTACATACCATCCATTGTTTCCAAAACTAAGATTTATTTCAAGAAAAGATCTTGGGAAAGGGTCTCAGATCAGGATACAGCTGCTAAATAATATGATGTTGTTATCATGGCTAGCTACACGTAGCAAGAAATGTTCTGCAATCCCACCAAAGCTGCAGTTACAATTAGAAAAAAACCAGAAGAAATTGTTCACATAAAAAATCCTAATAGTTTCACATCAATGCAAATGGCATTGGAAGGAGGGCTTTGCTATCAAACGTGAAGAAAAATGTTATTTAAATAGAACAAAAACTTGCTATGTTTTCTGTGTTGTATTACTTTACCCTATTTAATAAGCCAACTCATTTTAATACATCCCAAATTATCAGTGATTCTATCGGGCTACGGTTAACATTTATTTAGAGTTGGTACACATACCTCACTAAAAGCTGCACAGCTCATTGCCTGAGAGAATCGCACCTCCAGGAGATTAGAACAAATGCAGAAAAATTAAAAAAAAGCCAGCAAAAAAGCAAAATGTGTTTCAAGTTGGAAATTAAGGGAAGGATTTATTTTTAAATCGGCAAGTGTTGAAATGTCAGTCGGTAACAACATCTAGAGCATACCTGGCTCCTGAGCGGGTGACTATTCACAGTGAAGACAACATCCTTCAGCTTAAGTGCTCTGAACTCACGCTTTACTGCTTACTTTGACTGGGGCTTATATTGTCCCATTCCAATTTCACTGAAATTTCAATGATCAAGCAGAGTCCTACAGCTGCCTTCTGAACTGTGTTATTTGAAAACATAAAAATACCGCTGAAGTAGGCAAAAAATACTGGAGAGGGAGTTATGCATTTGTGCCATGCACGGTTATGAATCGCAACATTTAGAAGAATCAGTAGTGCATCCACATAATACTAATGTGATTTACACTGCGCCAGTTCACCAGTGACTACAAGATGTATGCGGTCTGCAAAATTCCTTATTGACCTTTTATACCTGTTGGGTGACTGACTCTGAGCAGCAGGAGAGCAGGGAGATGATGGCCCAGATTGGAAGTTCTCATGATAGCCTGCCCTAAAATACAGGAGAGAAAATGCATTACTACAGCTGAAGAACAACTAAACCAGAGGTTTTGTACCGAGAAATGCCAGCTGATGGATTTCAGGATTCCCAGCTCTAAAGATTTTATCTAAGGAAAACAAGGTATAAATTTGCTGTCCACTGCCATTTTGATACAATGAGAAATAGCACACATTTTTTGGTTCTGAGTCTTGGTCTCCTTCCTATTGCTCAATCAGATAACTCACAAGGTAATCAGCCATGTGCAGGCTCCTACCTACCTTCCAACCCAACGCAGCTCACACCGTGACGAAGGAGGGTTAAGCCAAGGCACACCACCTTGTACTCTCTGCTCCCCAGGGGATGTGCACAGAAGCACACTGATAGAGCAGATGTGGCATTGTTGATGGAGGGTCTGTGCTCTTACTGAGTAAAAAGGAAGCTACCAAGACTGAAAAGTGGTTTATTCTTATTTGTGTCCATTCTACCCTGCAAGAATTTGGTGAGAAAAACCATGGATGTTTTTTCTTATCAGAAATCATAGGATCGATTCAACCTCTCACTGCTTAAAGCTGTTTACAGATTAAATAACAATTTTCTCAAACATACACAAGCAGTTTGTTATGAGGAATAGGCAATCAAACCTCAATCTACATTAGTTTTGACTGGGCACAAGCTTCATAGAGGTAACACATATCTTGCGGGAGACTGTTCATATATATGCTAATGAAAACAGGTGTTCCTTTCTCATTACTGAGATACACTTTTTGCAAATATTAGGTAAAGATATCCCTTGTTTACTGAAAGAACTGGTGTTACTTTTTAGTAACGCTCACTCAAAAACACAAGGCAAAGCATCAGAGAAGAAAAAAAATATCACCAAATTTATAGCAGAAAGAAAATACTAATCTCCATATATCTTCTTTCAAAAGCTATAATCCTTAAAGAACTAGAAAGTAGCAACCAATGTGTGTTTAGAAGCTGGGCAATGAAGCTCTCATATCTACTTCAAAGAGGCAGACTTGTCCTGACATTCCCATAAATGTTTCTTTTCTTTATGAACTTTTTCTTTAAAAGCTATAAATGTTTGTCTTAGGGACTTAAAACAAATGAAGCACATGAACAGTTATGCAGATGAGTGTTTAAAGACCTAAGGAGGAAGAAGACACAGAATGGCTAGCAGGAGGTGTCCTCCCCAATGAAACTAGTTACTGGGGTACCTGCAATGAGGAACAAAGTGGATAAACGTTAGCAGTCTTGATGGGAAAGCCAGGAATCAAAGGTGTCTGCACAGTGCAGGACTACCCATGAAACTTAACCGATAAAGAATGCTGAGTAGGAATATAAGGGAGAACAGAGTGAGCAGGATTTCTCAACCTCTGCAATAATCTTTATTTTACGTTCTCACCTCCTCGTTTCTCCTGTGGAGCTCGGCTGTTGTCCTGCACTCTGGCCCAGGAATGGTCTCTGCCGATTGTCCTCTGCACGATGTGGGGACTGCTTTGTCAGCAACTGCTGATTCCAGGAGACGTCTACAGTGGGAGGTTGAGAAATCTCAATACTTGTGATAAAATGCTTTTGTCAATACTTACAGACCAGCATAGCTTGTAGGCACACCATAAAGGAGACATGATATACACTGTTACTTAAAAATAAGTTCTCAGAAAACCCACACAAAGTCAGAGACAGGCTCTGCTACACCAGAAGACCTCTGTGTGACAACATCCCCTTACATTACCTTCACATACACATGACCTACCCTGCTGCTGAATCTTAGTTTCTGAAGGGGGAAAGGGAGAGGTCAAACAGTTGTCCACAAACAGCATTTGGGAAAATAAAGTATTTCTGTCCTAAGGAAGGAAGCACCAGAGAGACAGAAACTTCCCGTGATGCCTGGGGATCCAAACTTCTCAATAGCAAGAGTTAAGAGGAAGGTGGTGTAGTCACTGCTCTCCATAAACCTACTGATAAACAGATTTCTTCCCTTGTGTCGTGGTTTAGCCCCAGCCAGCAACTAAGCACCACGCAGCCGCTCGCTCACTCCCCCTACCCCGATGGGATGGGGGAGAGAATTGGAGGAGTAAGAGTGAGAAACACTCCTGGGCTGAGATAAGAACAATTTAATAATTGAAATAAAGTAAAATAGTAATGCTAATAGTAACAGTATAATAATGATAATAATAATAATGATACACGAAGCAAGTGATGCACAATGCAATTGCTCACCACCCGCCGACCGATACCCAGACAGTTCCCGAGCAGCGATCGCTGCTCCCCGGCCAACCCCCCCCAGTTTATATACTGAGCATGACGTCATATGGTATGGAATAGCCCTTTGGTCAGTTTGGATCAACTATTCTGGCTGTGCCCCCTCCCAGTTTCTTGTGCGCCTGGCAGAGCATGGGAAGCTGAAAAAGTCCTTGACTAGCATAAGCAGTACTCAGCAACAACTACAAACATCAGCCTGTTATCAACATTCTTCTCCTACTAAATCCAAAACACAGCACTATGCCTGCTGTTAGGAAGAAAATTAACTCTATCCCAGCCGAAACCAGGACACCTTGCAATTTCCTTCCGCGTTTCAGATGGTTGCACAATGCTCAGTGACAATAACAGCCTCCCAGCAATAAGCAATGACCTGTGATGCCCAGGCAGCCGACCATCCCATCTTTGAGACAGAGCACACTACTTGGGATCCTTCCAGATGAATTTTGTGACTTGCAGGCTGGGGAGGGCCTTACCCTGTTGTGCACCAACCAGCTAGTTTAGAGGAGAAGAAAAACTTCACTGGAGCCTACGAAAGGCCCATTACCTATTTTTGATACCAAGACAAAAAAAAATCCTAGTCCTGACTATTTAGGGACTTAAGGAGAGAGCAAGGATGTATTAAGGGGCAAGAAAGAAGCTGTCAGAATATTTGTAGGGGACCAAGTTGTTGAAGAGAACCTAGGCAAAAGCCTGATTAGCAGAAGTTGTTAAAAATTGTCAAATCTTTGAAGTTTGTTTAATCACTGCTACAAATCCACAAGGATGGATTGCTGGGCAATACCTTCTGTTTTCTTTATTTGAGAAACCTTTATCAAAGCACTAAGAATACAATAAAATTGTGGACAGGGAAAGCAAACCTGCTAAGTTTAACAAACTGAATTTACATTTGGAGCAAGTAATAACACTGAAACCTTTTCTATACATAGACGTTTCATTTTTTAGAATGATCAATTTTGATGCTAGTCTGAAAACAAAAATCTAAAACTCAATTTCAAAATCTTTAGTCCTACTTACTTACTCACCACTGTTCACTTGCATTAGATAATGATGCTAAATTACTGAATTTGCCTTTTTTTTTAGGGTCACCCTATTGACAGTAATGTTTTGGGGAAATTCCTTCATTCAAAAACCATCAGCATTTATGGGAGCTTAAAAAATTTATTAATTTTAAATGCCATCAGACATTTCTAATGACAAAATTGAGGTGTCACTTTAGACTTCGCTTGAAATAGTTACACATCACAGGTAGTGATTTTTACTGGACTGAAATGGACATAAAGAATCTAATTAGCTATCAAAACATGAAAGAAGTGTTGGAAATATGCTCTCTGTATCAAGATAAATCCTATATGTATGTAAGGTTATGCAAAAGATGGAAGATAACTGTGTTTAATAACTACTGTGAACACACAGGCCTATAAATGAGATTCCTACCTGCAGCTGAAATGTTCATCTCTGATGAAAACAAGATTTTAAATTTCACTTTAACATATTTATCTTTGCTAACAGAAAATAACTTTTGAATCTGAGACATTCAAATTTTGAAGATATATGTGTACTGTTATGCAAAATTCTTTGAGTTAGATTTTGAGCCTCTGTATAACCTCTGAGATTTCTATTTGGAAAAGAATACATGCGTATGAAGAGTCTTGACCCTCACCCTGAGTCAACGGCAGATTCAGCCTGGCAGGCGAGCTGCGCTCCATCACCGGCACCTGGTGCTCCTGTTCACCTCCTTTCAAGACACCTGTCTCTGGGTGTCCTGAGAGCGCTTTATTTCCACTGCCAATGAAAATAAGTCACACTGTATAAATAATACCAGGAAAAATGCCACCCAGAATATAATGGCAAAACCAGACTTTTGAATATCAGTCTATTTTTTGCAACAAGATTTTTGTTATTGTGTCAGCAATGACAAAACAATGAGGATAAACTGTCATGAATTAACAAGTCTCCAAACATGCCAAGTCTTCCTACTTCCCTCACACACTGCCACTTTACAGGCACTAAAGATCATTCTGGATTTGTGGAAAATGCCTTCTTTGTCAGAGAAACACCTTTTCTCAGTGTTTTCTATCCAGTGTTCAGCATCATCAGATGCTTCTTGTCTTTGTGAAAGCTGTTATTAGCAGTTGGGCAAAGACCAGGACTTTGAACACCATCTGGCAAGTTTGGGTACGGCACTTCCGAGATAGCCAGGCAATCTCATAAAGATTCTGAGTGAAAATAGCTACTGCTCCTTTATTCCTCCAAATGCCTTGTGAAACTTGTACACAAGACACAGTGCAGTGCCACACAGAAATGTCTGAGCTATCTAAGTTCTGATCTGGTTGACGAGACAGGCTTTCAGCAAAGCCATATACTGAAAAGACAAGCCTTCTGATACGCAAAATTAGCACTGCACATTGCCATATATGCATAAGCCTGTGGCAAGTGAATATTGATCGGGATATATTATACCTATCACCAGGCCACCAGATGCTGATGCTCCAGCGTTAATCATGGGCAGATGTAACATCCCAGAACTCTACAGAACACAAAGCTCCACAGGGCTAAGAAACGCTTAGGCTTGACACATACCTCCTCTTTTCTTGCCAGAGTTCATTATCCTTGCTTTTCGGAGATGGTATACTGTCCTGCTCCCAGAGCAGCTTTTTCTGCCTTGTACCTTCTTTTTGTTTGCTTTCATCTGGAGAGCTGTTTGAATCAGTTGTGTTCTAGAAGACAGCAGAGAGGGAACAAAGAGCTTCCCTTGGACTTGGCGTCAGCACATGCATGAGAAAAGCACAAGCTGCCCCCAGATATACCGTGTTGACACACCTTACTATCATAAAGAACACCTCACATTATACAGTGGAGTCATTTGACCTTGGTAAGGCTAACTTTGGATTTAACAAAGACTTCATCTAAACCAATCAACTAATTGTATTAAATTGAACATGAAACAAAAAAGTGCAGGACTGACCAGTTATGAGATGGTGTTCAGGATGACAAAATAAAACTTGCCACTACATATTTTTGGCAGAAATCCTTGAGTGACTTTGAGAGTCTAGACAGTCTCCCATTGGACCTGGAAAGACTTTGTGAGGGACCTCAGCTTCTTAACTCTGCCAGGAGGCAGAGCATTTCTCACATGCTCTGGGCATTATCAAATGGCAACACCAGAACTACTTCAAAATGGTACTGGAGTGGGTCATACCTGACTGGTGGAGCTTTGATAAGCCATGGCATGAGATCCTTCACTTCTGGGTGCAGGGACTGCCCTGAACATGGCATAAGCAACTCCATCCAGGAAGTTACCACTACACAGCCATGTGGAAAAAGGACCATGGCTGATGCCCCTGCCACAGGGATGAGTGATAAGAGGGGGCAGGAAGGATGAGAGGAGAACCAGATGATACAGTAGTCCTAATCCTGGAGTTGAATGCAAAAAGGCAGATGTTTTCTTTGGTCTGGGTGCTGTAGGCAGGAGAAAATTAAGTCTGGGAATCCCACATTTATTCTATTGATCTCACCTGGGGTGTCATTCTCTGATCTCTGGCAAACACTTATTTAATTAGATGCTAAATGCATCAAGTTAAACATTTTGTGCCGCATAAGCTGAAAGAGTAAAGAGTGAACATTCCTCCATTCGTTTTGCTGCTTTCTAGGAGGGATGGTGGGAGAGAAAAGAAGGAAAAGTGGGGATGCAGGATTAAGTCACATCTCAGATATGCTTACAGCACTGTCTTACACTCCAGATTTTGGATGCAGGGAAATCACTTCAGATTTTGTTGGCTTTGAGAAGGTAGTTAAAACAAATAGAAACAGGTGATTGCTTTTCCACAGCACCAGTTAAAGAAGAGAAGCAGCTGCAAAGAGAGGAAGTATCACCCTCTGCTCTAGCCCAAAACAGGATAGTAGCAGTGTGCTTGGGAGTATGGCTCTTCAGTTGTAAAAATATACAAGCTACAGCACTCCGAGGTATCACCAGCTACGGAAAGGATCCAGGGAACATTCTTACTCTTACTGTTCCCAGTCTTTGTTAGCCTTTAGCAAAGAATGAAACTTTGCACTTCAGATAGTTTTGTCTTTATTCCTTACTAATCCATGAGAAACTCACTGCTGTCTTGTTTCCTTCAGTAGAAGAGGAGGAGGAGAGGAGTTCAGCAGAGTTTGAAGAAACAATGAATGGAACGACAGTATCCTCAATTATCTTACGTTCCTAAAAAAAAAGAGGATCAGGAGAGAGCAGGAGTTAAAAATACAGAATGTCAACTATGAGCTTAAAAAGTAGAATCATGAAGTTTGGCTACACACTTATGGTTAGATGGCTAGGTAAGGTCCTGTGGTACCAGGAATAATGGTAACACCTCAATTTTTAATTTGCGTCAAGGTTTTGCACTCCCTTTCCTTTCACCATTACCATCTTTGGGATGGGATGTCCAAAACTGGAAAGAACATTCCACTTGGGATGGCACCACTGTTTCTCAAAACACCAGTCTATTTAATTTCATATAAAAATATGGTACATGAGAAACTTCTGAAAGTTGAAAAAAAATTTCTTGTTCAGATCACAAGTATGGCCCTCAAGCACAGATGATAAGACATCAATTTACATAATGTACAACTAGTCAAACTGAAAACATGAATATTTTCCAATTTCCTGCAATAATGACCCACATATGACAGAAGAAAAACACTATCTTCTATATTGTTAATATTCTACAGCTGCAAGCTTTGAACATTTCCTGTGAATTATTTTTGAAAAACAAGGCCAGTTTACAAAACATCTACATGATCAAGCCCAAGGCAGACAACAATTCCATCTGGAGTTCCACCAAGTCCAGACACCAAGTATACGCCAAAATGCACAAGGCGCTGCCTCCGGAGGGAAGTCTGAGCGTGCCCAGACACAACCATACTGACTCACCCTGACTTGCTCAGCAATTAGAGACCTCCACCTATGTGGAGGTTCTGAGGATACCTGTCTAAATATTCAAATATTTTTCCTCAGTGCCTATGGTAGTGTTTAAGAGAAACAATCCTCCTGAGAATTCAGCCTTGAGAAGGCTTTTCATTAATTAATCTAGGTATGGGATTTTTTTAGTTACTTAAGTGGGTGCATTTAAATACAAAAAAAAGTCAATAAACAACCTCCTCTTTTGAGCCTTATACCTCCTCATAGTATCTACGCTCCTCCTCTTCAACTTCTCTCTGGGCCTTTTCCCATTCCTCTTTCAGCTTGTCCTGCTCCTTCTGATACTTCTCCTGTAAGAGGATACAAATACAGGTAAATTCAGAGCATTCTGTATTAGAAGTAAATTCTGCAGTATCTCCACAGTGAAAATGGACCTGCTAAGAGTGGTCTAATCAGAAATAGGATGAAGTAGGAAGATAAAAATTTGAAACATCCATGGGTGTCAAAAAAAGCTTTGTTTCCTCCTCTCCCCGCTTGTTTCTAGCACTTACATTTAACACCTTCAAACCACGAGGAACCTTTAACATATAAGAAGTTTAATTTGTTAGAAGTTTTAAAATCTTTGCTTAGAAATGAAATTTATGCTCAACAATTTCAATAATTCCTTGTTTATTACACAGTATTAAGAGTTCCAAAAAGCTATCACACACCTCTAAACACTTGGGTGTGGGTTTTACATTAATAACTTTAGCAAAGTAACATACAAACAAGCAGGTTTTGCAGATACTGGTACTAATTTAAGAGAGATGGCAACACAGTTTAATGAATGATGAATACCTGTGCAAGTTTAAAAGAGAAATGAATAGTGTGTAAAGGTTTGAAGAGGGTAAGCTTATAATTAGCTAAGTAGTTTATTTTCCTCCTTGATGGAATTATTCCTTCAGAACTGTTTTCACACAGTTTTGCATGAAAAATTATCTCAAAGAGATCTTTAAAATTGTTTGATAGAACTGGTTTGAATATGGGGAAGAACGGTGACTTCCATATCCCTTTTACACCAGTTCCAACTTCTGTTCAAATTAGAAACCACATCTGCCTAATCCAGAAGAGATGCGTTCACTATTGAGAGAACACCCACATAAGCCAGAAAAAATTATGAGAATTTTACATCATTTTAAGAGGAAACAACCATATTAGCTAAAAAGAAAGAATTTCAAGAAAGCAGTAGAGAGACACATAAGTCATTCTTAAAAGATGAAAAGGCTCCATTTTATTATTCTCCATCCTTTGACAGTTGTTTGCTCTTCTGTTACATGAAGGGAAGATATGATTTATTTGGGACCAAACCTAATTACAGATTCAAAAGACACTACTGACTGATGGGGAAATTCCAGTTCTCAGGGCCGCTGCACTTCTCCCAGCTAGGACACAAAACCAGACTTTTTACAGCTTACTCTACCACTAGGCAAAACCAGTGGTTGTTTTGAGAGGGTTTCCCCCCTCACGAAAAGACCCCAAACCCTTTGTGTCCAAATTTAGCTTGATGTTTTCCAAGAAGAACCTGTGAACAAAGCAGAAGTCTACAAAAATCTATTAAGACCATCATTTTAAAGAAGAGTTGCACAGGCATCAGGGTCAGCAAAATACCAGTCTTAAGAAAGAGGCTCCAAGTAATTAAGTCTCACAGTCTATCCTCAACATACTTTAAATATAGTTGAGGATCAACATTTGGTTTAACTCCGCCCTGGAATGCAGAACTAAGTCCTTCTGGTCTTTCCAGAGAGTGGGGAAGGGAGATGTTAACAGTGCCCAATCCACAGAGAATGTGTGGGTATGCTCATGTTCTTATTCATCTGCCACAGAATGCACTCAAGAATCCACAGAGGATGTGGAAGACATGACATGAAATGCCCAACCTTTGTCCAAAGAGACAGTTCAACAGCTGAGCCACATGGTGGAAGAAATGTAGTTTCTTCCTTACCTGAAGCAAGCGTTCTTGCTCATGCTGCCACCTCTCCTGGCGCTTTCGCTCTTCTTCTGGATCCCAGGACCAGAAATTGAAACGCTTGCGTGAAGGAAAACCAAGCTATTAGACTTTAACACTGTACTTCACCAGGCTACCAAGAAAGCTGCACTTCATCTGGCCCACCCCCGGTGGTGATGTTAAAATGGGAAATTGAGAACTAGATAATGGTTCTCTCAGTTAGCAGATAATATTCTTAGCTTCATTGACACTTGGGATTGCACACAGGTATCTAAATGATAAAATAATCATTTGGTTTGCAAAGAAAGGCTTGGGAAACTTCAACTGGAGGGGAAAAAAAGGAAAAAGATCTTAAAGAAAGCTCTAAGCAGCACTGAACATATCTGTAGGCACTCAAATTTAAAGAAAATATCTATTTTTTCTTTTCTATAATCTTCTGCGCAACATGCAAAGCAATTTGTGATTGTAAAATATATTCTCTCATTTCATATGGCTGCCAGCACAACAGCCTATAGCCTTGTTTTAAATTTTTATCCATAATGAAATAAAATCTCAGGCTTCAGTAAGGATCCCATTACATGATACGTTTACGTGTTTAAAATCCTTATAATCAAGGGCAATTTTAGACACTTGATGTCATACTCCTTTCCACTAAGAGTTGTATTAGAAACCAATAGGAAGAGATTATGTCTATTTTTAAGTGACAAGCAGAATATTAAATACTGTGTAATTCAGTGTGGCATTTGTGGTGGTTCGTGGGTTTTGGGGTTTTTTTTCATTGGGGAGACAGTTCAATTGTGGTCTCTAATTTCTATGCATTTAAAGTAGAATGGATAACTTGGAGTTACATATTATTTTGAGATTATGAAGCTTTAGTGGTTCCAGCAAACCAGTACTGTATAGCTAGCATTCCTTCTGGACAAGGGAAGAACACACAAATTCCAGATTCAGACCAGGTCTTGACTTGGGTTGTATTTTTTTCTCTCTCATTTCCATGAGAAAAAGAATTCTTATTCTGATTTGGAGATGTTACAACACAGTTTGCATAAAATATTCACTTCTCGTAAAAAATTCATACCTCTAAAACAATGATGCAAAAAAGGTACTCACATTTGATTTGTCACCACTATCAGAATCGGCTATTAAAAAAAACAGAAAAAGGAAAAATTAAATTCAACACAGCAAAATGTGCTTAGCCTGCAATTAAAGCTACATTGTATCTGTATAAGAAAGCTTCATGTTAGTTTCCTATTTGCTCCCACAACCAAATGCAAGGACGAATCGCAAGCAAATAAACCAGAAAAACAGATTACACCCATCACCAACAAAACTACTTTTCATCGGGGCATAGAGGAGCACGATATTAACTAACATCAGGTTCTACTCTACCACTAGCTAATGCCATCTACTTCTGGCCACAGACGTTAGCAGTGTTCAGACTTTGTTACCTACTTTGATCTGCTTTTCCCTTCGTGATTCAGTGCAAGGAAGGAAAAAGCACAGCAAAGCTAAAAGGATGGGACTACACTATTCAAGAGCCACAGTTACGAAAAGAACCATTGCCATTTTCTATACAAATATCTATGAATTAGGTTGATTTAAAGAAATTGAGGAAAAGGTATTTACAGGCAAGTGATTTCATGTGGGTGCCTGAAACCAGAGCATCACAACAACGTGCAACCCAACAGCTCTTTGTCAACTGTGCAGCAGGAATAGACACTTTCTACAAAAGCGAGAGGTAGAACAAGTCCCCGTGATCATCAGCTTTCACCCCAGCCCCACATCTGAAGACACCTATGACTGGAGGCAGCAGAAGGGCTGAAGCTGGTCTTAGCGCCGCATTTACCTGACTGCGAGAAAAACTGTGAGCGCCGCCAGTTGTTGCGAACCCTAAGCGGAACCGTGGCCCCGCGGGGCGGCTCTGCAGGCAACGGCACGGAGACAAAACAAGAAACACAGCGCGGTCAAAAGGCGATGAGACTCTCAGACCCGAGCTGCCTCGGCCACGAGAGGGATTTTGACTACAATTGCTTTGGCCCATCGCAGCTAGTTTACAACAGACCTGTAGATCACATGGACTGCCCGTATATAAATGCTACTGTTGAAACATGGACCTAACCTCATGTGAGAGCTCCAGCAAACCAATGCTAGTCACGGGCAGCCACCCCTTCAAGTTTTTGCATGGTGCTTGCATTCATTCCTATTGCAGATACACATTTTAAAGGATTACGTGATCCTTTCAGCACTTTACGTGCTGTGAACACTAGAGAGCAGCCAAGCGTTTCAGCATCACTCGGAAAATAGGTGAGAGACCCACAATGTTACTTATGTTCACATTTATTCATGGCTAACATAAAATGATGTTATTCTCAAAGCCTGTTTGGAAAGCAACACCCCACTTAAAACAAGTGAGACATCTATTCCTTTTCAGACAATCCTGTTTTCTACAGTGGATCACCTTCAGTAGGTTCAATCTTGAAAACACTAGGATAATCAGTATATTACCTATACATAAACTAACAACCTAGTAAGTTCTCAGGGGGAAGAAAACTTCAGGTGATTTTTCTCTCTCTCTTTCTTTCACAATACCTATGTATATGCGTCTCTAAACCAAATGTAAATCAAACTACTAAACATTATCAATCTCAAGCAAAACTTTGTCATGAAGGCAAAAAAAAAAAAAAAAATTCTACTTTGCAAGAACTCGTGATGGGCACAGGTCAAAATGAGGGATGTGGCCAGATACGTGTATTGTTCATCTATGAAAAGCAGCTCCACATGAGCAGCTGAGTGCAGAATTTATCTCCAGAAGTTTTTATTGTGAGATAAAAACCAATTGCTAAGCCATTTTCATCTGTGAGTAGCAGTACTAATAAAATATAATACTCATTGACATAATACAGCTTTTATTGCTAGGCCATGTAAGTGCAAGATAGGGCTCTCCCTGTCCCCCTCTGCTGTGTCACAATTCTGCTGTTGTGTTTAAGGGGAACAGCCAGAAGAGTCCTTTGCATCACAGAACCCACACTACCAGTATCAGTCAGATGCAACTAGAAAATAACCATTTTAGCTCCAAAACCATCCAGGTCATTGATTAGGCACTTCTCCCTGAACACCACACACACATATCCAGTTACCGTCCAGCTGAGTTCTCCAAATGCTCTTTGCTCACCTTGTAGACCAGAATTCTGCAGAGTAACTTGGCTGGTCTCAGGTAGTTTCTTTAAAAATGGTAATACTACACTCCCCTCTTGCTCCAGGCCTTTTGGCTTCATCACCTGTTAAGACATGTGGGAGAGAAAACAGCATTCAAAAGTCAGCAGGTTCAATCAAAGGTTAACTTAAACCCTTTCTACTTATTTTCTGAATCAACATTATCAAAGATGAAGCCTCTATCTCCAGAATTACAACATGGAGTTGCAGTACTGTAGTCCTGGAAATAACCAGTAGCTGTTGGTTGTTGACATTCACACTGCCCTGCACACCAAAGCTGATCCTAACCCAGGACCAACATCTAACTTACCTGACAGAGCAGTATGGTCATGGCCATTTGTTACCTCTGCCACCACCTGCACTTCTTCAGCACTTCAAGAGGACTAAGAGGGTAAGCTCCACTGTCTACACCTGGATACCCTGCCCTCCCAACACACGGTGGGACTGGGGTTTGCAGGTTAACTTCTCATTTCTGCTCCAGCCAGTTTACAGGTTCAAACGCTACAAGCAGACTCTAGAGAGTTCCTTTGGAGGGGGAACTCTCTGATAACCATAGGATTTGCCACAGAAACCATCCTCCAGGGTCATTCCCTGGCAGATTGTTTTGAATGAACACGTGAAGTGACATTATAGAATCATAGAATCATAGAATCGTTTAGGTTGGAAAACACCTTTAAGATCATCCAGTCCAAACATTAACCTACACTACCAAGTCTACTCTAAGCCAATCAAGGGTAGACTAGACTAAACCATGGCCCGAAGTGCCACATCTACCCATTTTTTGAACACTTCCAGGGATGGTGACTCCACCACCTCTCTGGGCAGCCTGTTCCCATGCTTGACCACCCTTTCCGTAAAGAAATTTTTCCTAATTTCCAACCTAAACCTCCCCTGGCGCAGCTTGAGCCCATTTCCTCTGTATAGAGAAAAATACCAATATATACCTCTATATAGAGAAAAATACCAATTTGCACAATAAACATTTCCATGTGAGACCTTTCTTTTTTGTTTTGTTTTCCACTCCCTCCCTTTCTTGCCTGTACATACCTCTGGTGTAGCAGCAGGCTCTGCTTCCTTCTGCTGCTCCATTTCAAGTTTCTTCACATCTTTCTCACTTGAAGCAGCTTCCTCTGAAGGGACAGGACTGGGAAGAAATTCTAATCTCTTCACAACAGGGCTGGCACAAGCTGCAGTTGACTTGAATTGCTTTTGATCTGAACCTAATCCACACATACAAGAAATAATGTTGCAAGGTTAAGACATCTTTTCAAATACAATGTAGGCCTATTTCTTACAATCCGATTTCTCACTGGATATACTGTGAGCCCACAAACTGGATGTTGTGGAAAAAAAAATCTTTCTTCAACACAGGCAAAATTAATCTCTCAGAGAAGACAAGGCTTTAAGGGTGAAATTCACCTGACAAAATGTAGGTATTTACACTTGACTTGGGCATCATGGGACACCCTTCATGGTTAACAGAGACAGAGAGGAAGTTCTTGGGGAAGAGTCACCTAAACTACTTCAGACACTCCTCTTTGGCTGAGATGAGCTGTAACCTACAACGTGCCTACTGAGGTATAGATCTCTTTACTGAAGTCATGTGATGAATCTTATCCTAAGATGCTACCCAGACAAGTAGCTATACCACAATTAATATGGTCTCACTGTCAGCACTGGAGGACATTCCAGCTTGCCTGTTCCCACTAAACCATGGCAGTCAAGCATCAGACAGCAAATTGTGCTATCAGGAAGCCTTGGACTGGAATAGCCAAGTTGTCATTCAGTCCTTAAAAAAACCGAACAAGTTGATGCTGGTTTACAGGAGAAGGGACCAGGAGCACACAGGCCTAGAGCTGAGGATTGTGACAGCTAAACTACTCTCAGCTGGTACCACCATTGGAAGCACAGCAGTTTCCAGCATCTTAGGCAGAGCACAAGCACCCAGACATCTCTCTAGCCTCCTAAAGCAGAATCTCAGCTTCAGATCCCATCCCCTCTCCAACCACGGCAGCAGGGGCAGCTTCCAAATGTACCTCGTTGACTGGCTATGAAAGTGAGCCAAGAAAGAGATGCACCTCAAGGGTCCACTAAGAATGTCCACGTGAGCAAAGAGTTGCTCCTGCTGCCAGGCAGATGCACACCACTCTGAGGCAGCTGCCACACCATTAGTGGCACAGGGGTCACAGCATGGAAGTATCTGGCTTGTACTGAACAGCAGAGGAGGTTTCTTATTCTACAAGAAGGTCACACAGTTTGGACTACATCTATCCCTCCAAAGCAGACATAATGAAAACCCATGTTCCTTTACCATTTCAATTTTTGCAATGCCATCTCAGTTTTCCTTGCCAGCCAATATTAAACTTTGCTATCAATACTTAATGCTTAGCATTTCTTACAGGTGTGGAGCCTGACACAAGGTGGCTTTGTGATTTGTAGACAAATATCACCAGCTCATCACTGCTGACTCTTGAGAGGAGAATTTGGTTGGTTCACCACAAGACTGCAGCTTCTACATTACCTGCCAGGTGCAATTCAAGATTGTTAACCTCTGTGCTTTGGCATCTACGAGCCAAAGTAATTAAGTCAGCTGATGAGCCCTTGCTAACAGCCCATGTGCTTCAGAGTCTTGCAGCACATCAGGAAAACGCTGGATACACTTCTCATCTTGGGGGAATGGTACCCCATTGATGTTTGAGGGCAAAGCTTAATTGTTTAAGTCACATTTATCCTAAACAAATAGGAGCATTATACTTATAAGCCAACTACAGCCAGAGGTCTCATTTAAATACCTACTTCAAATAGTACTTTTTACTTACCCATACCAAGCTGAACTTTGATAGACCCATTTTAAAAAATGAACAACAAAAAAAGGCCATGAACTTAGTATGATAGCAGGCAGTAGCTAAAATGCCTACTCAAAGGTAACGTTTCAGAAAAATCCTTTTGAGGAAAATAGCTTCAAATTTTACCAGCAAATTCCTTTCTCCAGGTTAGGAATCATGCATAAAGGCTTTAAAGCAGAAAATCAGGACTGTGCACAATATTGTCCATTTAAAGCCCCTACGAGGACTAAGCACCCCTTCTTATTCTCCTTCCCCACTTCTTAATGTCTTGGGGGAAAAAAAAAAGTGTTAAACAGAAGCTATTACTGACTGATAGATTCTGCCCTGATTGCTCTGTGCTTACAGCACACTGTGGCACCAGCTTTTCATGCACACAAATGGCAAAGCAGACAACTCGCATCCCAGGCAATGTGCAGTCAGGTGTGTCATTTCAACCACAGAATGACAGAACAACCCAGGTTGGAAGGGACCTCAAAAGATCATCTGGTCCCACCTTTCGTGGGAAAGGGAGCCCGGATGAGATTATCTAGCACTCTGTTCAGTCACACCTTGAAAACCTCCAGCCACCGGGACTCCACCATATCCCTAGGGAGGTGGTTGCACTGAATGATCGTTATTACTGTAAAAAATTTCTTTCTTACGTCAAGATTTCTGACCTCTTCTGCATTTTCTAGTAAACCCTCTTGGTGCCGCTGCAGCTCATTGGACTCCTGCTGCAGGCTGGGCCTAAACCCCAGCCCAGGGTGGGCAAGGGCAGGGGCCAGGGCAGCAGCAACAACCCCAACAACCCACCTGGGGACGGGCACGCTGGGCTCGCAGGTCCGGCACTTCCAGGGCTAGCCTCGACCTGCTTGCTGGTGGCTCTATCTGCTTCCACTGGGGAGGCCTGCAGAGAACGATATAGTAGAAACACAGTGAGTACGGTGGAAATAAAAGTATGCATTAATTCCTCAAGGCAGGACTTGCTGCTTCTTTGTAATGTGTTTGAACCAGACTGGTTCAGAGCTCAGCAGAGAGCTGCGGAGTACGTTTCGGAGCAATATATGCCACTCAGGTGTTAAATCAGTGGGCTTTAATCTCCTTTTCAAACTGCTCATCAGCAACCATCATGCAGTTGGGTTTGGAATAGCTCCTATAAGCTTTTAAAATTGTACGGTATCTCGGATGGTGTTAGCTGGAGATAAGCGTACCTTTTGCCCCTAGTTTCCTCTTCCAGAATAACACAAAAACGTATGCATTAGTGAATACATAGCACATACTAGGGTTTTAGAAGTGGCAAAGTAATTAAATATTTCCTTTATTTCATGGTTGTCTAAACAATCTGTTATCTGAAGGGAAAAGCCAGAGTCAGTATTAAAGGTAATGAAATACTTGAAGCACTATTAAGAGAGGATTGAAAAAATATGGTGAGAGCATATCAAGCCAATAATCCAAATCCCTTTGAAAAGCCAGCTTCCTGACCCAGGACAAAGCTGTGGCACAGCTAAAACCACACTGTCAAAATAAGGGTAGCACTTCAGCTGATCTATTTAGCAGCTTCCACCACACATCCACTTTCCTAGCAAGCAAATCAAGAAAAATCTGCAGCAAACTGATCAGCCACTGTACACTGCTTCTAATGCATGAAAGATCTAGAAAATGGCACATTCAACAGAGGAAAATAAAAAAAAGCAGACTGCTTTTAGACATAAAAAGTAACATATTTCAGAAGTAGTCTATTGTAAATTTGTTTTCCTGTCCTCCTCCCACCCCTCCATCTTACAAACAGCTGCAAGGGAGGAAATCTGATGAAATTTCCTCTTTTCTGGGAGCAGGATTTGGACACCCACCTTCTGCATGGATCCTGTCTCCCATCCCTGCAGACCCACATGAGCCTATAGCCCCTCATCCATCCATGCCCCATGAAGAGGAGACCTGGGCTCTCACAGCTCGGTCATCGGGGACGTCCGCTGGCAGTGCCAACACGACACCAACACCTGGGGACACACTTTGGCTCCGGAGAGCTTTGCTGTCGGCAGTGTTCGGGAATCCCTGCCTCTCTTCTCCTCTCTGGAGGGAGGCATGCTCCAGAGAGAGGCAGGGAACACATCTGGGAAGATGCCCTGCGAGGAAATGGTGGGGACTGGTATGGGGCCGTGGCCAGGGGCAGCAACCCAGGCAAGCCCAGCGGGCAGCGAGCAG